CTTTTATAGGCTTAATTGAACTTAAATACCTTATAATTTACCAAAATGATACTTATATACCTCTAATTGTATCTTGCTGTACTTTTTTTATTTTAGATAACGTAACTTGCTACACTTAAATATCCTAATGTTTTCTAAATGTTTATGGTTGTACCTTATGTCACGTTACCTAAACATAAGAATACTCTTTGTAATTTTCCTATATGAGTTTCATGGTATAATTTTAGGACAATTCTATGTTTTCTACTCTTTTCGTAAATGTTTTATTAACATGCACTAGTGGAAAATTGTATTTTACCTACGAAAAAATAGCGACGGATTATTCCGTCGCTATAACAAGGGTTATAGCGACGGAATATTCCGTCGCTATTTTTCCGTCGGTAAAGTATATTTACCGACGGAAATTTACAATTTAGCGACGGAAATTCTCCGTCGCCAAAAAAGGTAGCAACGGATTATTAGCGACGGAAATTTCCGTCGCTAATAACATCTTTAGCGACGAAAATTTCCGTCGCTAAAGTAATCTGGAGGGAAATTTTTTTGGGCGCGGGCGCCCAAAAAATTTGGGCTGCCCGCGCCCGAAAAAAACCCCTTCTTCCCCCCCCCTCTCATCCGACCCCTCTCTTCCTCCTTTCCTCCCCACTAGATGTTTATTTGGATCTTCACCCGCCGGTCCGTTCCTCGCGCGTCTTCGCGCCGTGTTCTTCTCTCTCTCTCTCTGTTGTTGAGGTACCTCTCTCTTCCCCCTGAATCTCTGTCTATCTCTCTCTTGTCAATCGTCTCTTCCCCCCCTCCGACTCAATCTCTCGTCTCTCTCGACCTCTCTCGTTCTCCTCTCTCTTGACTGAGCCGACAGGCGGGCGTAAAAACTCACGCGCGTCGGCAGGCCGACGAGAGAGGAGACAGGAGAGAGAGGAGGACGGGAGATGTGAGGGGTAGAGTGATATTTGTTAAATTTGTTTATTGTAATTAATTTTATATTTAGTGTTTATTTGTAAAAAAATGTGCAAAAACCCAACCAATAAAATGTATGTTGCTGAAATATCATTAAAAATTAATTTAATTAGTGTATGGTTAGGGTTAGGCGAGGTTAGGTAGGGTAGGGGATTAGGGTTAGGGTTCGGTGAGGGTTAGGTTAGGGTTAGGGTTAGGTTAGGGTTAGGGTTAGCGAGGGTTAGGGCTAGGGTTGGGTTAGGGTTAGGGTTCGTGAGGGTTAGTCAGGGAGGGTAGTGAGGGTGGGGTTAGGTTAGGGTTGATGTGAGGTGGCGAGGTTTTAGGGTTAGGGTTAGGGTTCGTGAGGGTTAGGTTAGGGTTAGGCCGAGGTTAGATCTGGGTTAGGGTAGGTTTGGGTTCGTTAG